AATTTGTAAAATAAAACTAAACGTTATTAAATTAAATAATACCAAAATCTTACAACAGGGAAAACTGCTGCTGCCATGGTCAATGTTAATTCAAAGAGGTTTTCGCCCTCGCGTCTAATCAGTTCTGTTATTGGAAAGAAGATGATACTTTATTCAAGCCCATAGAACCATAATTTAAAATATTTCTCCATAATCTTATGATAGAATTCTTTGACAGTTTTTCCTAAGAAAACTACAATAGAGATACAGCATCGAAAATATTAATACATTTTAATGATTCTGAGATATTTCTTGTTCTTGTAGCAATAATTAAAATAACAGTTTCTATAACAAAGATTCATAAACCCAATACCGGTTTGATTCATAATTTGAATAAATGGCGTTACATTAGGTGGTATAAAAATAACCTAAGTCAGTTCGTCATCGGTAGCCTTAACCATTTTCCGGCGTTTGACTTGGAGCATTAACTAAGATAAGCAGTGCTTACTTTTAAATTCATACAAAAATTCTATAACCTTTAAAACCCGACTTAGTGAAATTTACTTTTTCGTTCTTTTTTATATACCTCTGGGACAAAGTGATCGAAAAACCCTTTTTTATACTCTCGCAACCTGTTGCTACATAGTATAATAGTTTTGTTCACCTAACGGTTGTTTGTATCACCTAAAACTAATCGAGTTAGATATAGGGTTATATACATATAAATGATTAGGATGAAGAGACGAGTTGAAATCCGGGTGACTGTCTGTCCGTCTGTCCGTCCGTGCAAGCTGTAACTTGAGTAAAAATTGAGATATCTTTATGAAACTTGGTAGACATGTTTCTGGGTACCGTGAGACGGTTGGTATTGCAGATGGGCGTAATCGGACTACTGCCACGCCCACAAAACGCCATTAATCAAAAACAAATAAATTACCATAACTAAGCTCCGCAATAAGATATAAGACTGTTATTTGGTACACAGGATTATATTAGTGAGGGGCATCTGCAGTTAAAATTTTTTTTTAAAAAGTAGGCGTGGTCACGTCTCTAATAGGTTTAATGTGCATATCTCCTAAACCGCTAATGCTATAATAACAAAATTCACTGGAAACAAATGTTTTTAGAACCTCTACCTTCGGTGTGAAAATAGTTGAAATCGGGGGGCAACTCCGCCCACTCCCCATATAACGGTACTGTTAAAAACTACTAAAAGCGCGATAAATCAAGTTCTAAACACGCCAGAGACATTAACTTTTATCTCTGGGATGGTATGAGATGACTTTAAAGGAATCGCGTTTAAAATTAGACAGTGGACGTGGCACAGCCCACTTTTAGGTGAAAACCGATATCTTGAGATCTGCTTCACCGATTTCAACCAAATTCGGTACGTAACATTCTTTTTATATTTCTATGTTATGGTGCGAAAATGGGTGAAATCGGATTACAACCACGCCTACTTCCCATATAACACCATTTTAAATTCCATCTTATTCTTTAACTTTTCACTATGCATATCAAGCAACAATGATTATATCGGGGAAAACTTTGCGTGAATAATACGTTTAAAGTATGCCACCTTGTGACCAAAAATTGTCTAAACTGTTCAAGCCCCTAAGTACTAAATATGTGGACCCCAGTGCCTATAGTTGACCTTCTACCGAAAATATCAGCCAATCCACAAAGAAATCTCAAACGAGTATACCATTTGACTTTGCGAGAGTATAAAATGTTCGGTTACATCCGAACTGAGCCCTTCCTTACTTGTTAAAGATGAAACTATTCATCCAAGAAGACTTCGAGTCCATATAGGTTACAGGTAGCAATTTGTATTTGAAAGGTCTCTGGTTCTGAGATTTTCCAATTACTAAAGTGATAATTTTTTGTTTCTCGAAGCATTGACGTACGCTAATAATTTTAACATTTCTTTGGCATTCTTTCTTCCTGGTGCAATGTTTCTACAGGAAGAACATATATTGTTTAGGAAGTAATTTTCAATAAATACCGCTTTTCTGCATTGAAGGAAAGCTTATTATTTTTGTTACGCTCTCTAGCTTGTTTATAATGGCTTCACGTTAGATGACAGCTTTTCATCATATAATACTAGTATTCTTTAAGAAGACGTACTCAAAAGCGTTTTTTGAATTTAGTCATCCAACCATCACTGGCAAAAAAGATTTCCTTCTACGACGTTGAGTTATATACTATTTGTAGAAGGCCTGCGCCATTAGAAGAAATTCCCTTTGTTCAAGGGACTTACGTACTGATTTCGCGCGATGTATTTTTTGGACGTATTCCTCGATTTTAAATTTATAGTACAAGCAGACGACTTTTGAACTCCATATTTATCGGATATGGCCTTTATTTTCCAATGATAAACGCTTTCAATTTGTTATTGCATTTTCTAAACCAAATAAATAGAACCAACCGCACGGAAAAAGTATTTTGAATTAACTGAATTATGTTTAATTCAAAGTCATTGGAAACTTGAAAAAAAATCATTTATATTTTCACCTTCTCATCAACACCTATTTTTGATTTTGTATATTCAGATACTTTAACTTAAAAAATAATAAAAAGTATATCCGGATATCTTGTTCGACATAGCACAACGTTCATAGAAAACCAGGTTACGACAACTTTGAAATCATATGTTTGATGACGAAGTTGGTTTAAATTGGTTGGTTGCCATAGTCTCTTAAATATGTTTGTGTTATTTTATTCATGAAATATAATAGCTTAAAAATTAGTTATAAAAGCTACTAAATGTCATGTTCTTATTAACAATTGATAAAAATATTTATTACATATGTTATTAAATGGTTTTTCTTTTTAGAATTCAAGAATATTTCAATTTGAAATTAAATTTTAATCAAACAAGTAAGGAAAGGCTAAGTTCGGATGTAACCGAACATGTTATATCGCAAAGTCATATGGTATACTCGTTTTAGATTTCTTTGTGGATTTTGCCCCCTTGTTCTATGTTGACCGATATTTTCGGTAAAAAGTCAACTATAGGCACTGGGGTCCACATATTCAGTACCTTTTGGTCACAAGGCATACTTTAAACGTATTATTCACCCAAAGTGTTACGCCGATAATATTATTGAATTATATCGAAAAACATTCGGAAGAAGCCGATTACCAATATTATAGTGACATAATTAAACGTTCGTTTTTTAGATCTCGAATGTATTTTCAAATTAGATCGCTTAGTAAAGATATATTAGATAATTGTGTGAACAAAAAACCCAAAAATAAAAAAAAAACAGTAACACAAAATTTGGAGATGCCACACCCACCTGCTTGGGTACTAGCGGAAATCGCTTAGATTATGTCTACACAAACACTCTTTTTTTTTGCCCAAAAGGGTTTTTGTAGGTGAGGGGACGACGAGGAGGACCATGTCACCCGTGCTCGGGGTGGAATTCATTTTCATTTGGAAATTTTTTTCATAATTGCAATAGCACTCAGTTTCGAAAATTTAAAATTTATTATCTATTTGTTATATGTAATATGTAAATAAGATATCTATGCAAATATACGTTATATAATAGAAATGTTTTAGAAAAGTATGACAAGGATAAATATTAGGTAATCAAAAATATTAAAATAATATAATATTTGTCGCACTCGTGTTGCTCGTGCCATATGGATATATACTAAATATTCCTTTGAGAACAGTTTTATATGGAGAACAGCAAAGATGGACTTTCCATTTAAGGCATTTATTCCACTGCATAGAAGAAGAGCTATCCCCTTTTGAATTGATATATCAAAGGCTTACCGACGTACACTAATTATAACAATAAATCTTACATCATTTGCCTTTGGAAGATATTCCACCAAATTTAAGAGTAAGACCGAAGCTGATTCAAAACCACAAAAAGGACGGGTGCTTGGCAATATATAGTGTAAAATCGTAAACGAATCTCTTTGTTTCTGCCCGAGAGTTTATCATAGTTCAAACCTTTTTTGGATTGCATTTTGAGTTGTGACAATTTTTAACCATCCAAATGCAACAAAAAATCAATGATGCTTCATATGCTCTCCAGTATATTTAAGATCCATGCCCTGTTCCATCAGCCCCTACAAATTTTGTCATCAAATCAATAACTTCTTTATCAGAACAGGAGCAAAATATTCTATTAGTGCCATCACATAATTGATTTTCAAGCAAGCAGGCCACCCTCAATAGATTGTTTTCCTCCCACCATCCCTTCAAGATTCTTCATCTACCTAACCGAAGTCTGTAATTCTCTCAATATCATCATTTATCCAACCTTTCTCTTTCCGTTGCATATCTATTGTAAGTACAAATATATATAATTATGACTAGCGTTGTTAGAGGCAAGCAACATTAGAACAGTGATAATTACTCCCTTGTTTTTTACTAAAAAGTAGCAAAATTCAATTATAATTTTGTCAAAATAAATATTTGCTTAAAACATTCATTTTAAATTTGATAATTTCTTAAATTTATTGCAGAAATATATCACCCACTTTAATGATACTTCTGAATTTCACAAGAATATTTTCAGCAAACAAGGCATTGATCTCTAAATATGCCTTGTTTTGCGCACTAATGAGCAGATGAAAACCACAATAAAACTTATCACTTGCCGTTAAACAGTTAAAATTACTCAAAGCAACGTTAGAAAGGGTAACGAAATAACTGCAAATATGTAATATGACAATCAGTTATTGGGACTTGTTATGGATCTATTTCAGGTAGGTTAATAGGTAAGGTAGTAAGCATACATACCTAAATGTGTTAAGGTAATTGTACATGTATACGAGTATGTATGTCCAATCATGTCAGAATCGGATTATCTATATTCGGCTTAAAATTGTTGCTGACTCTGCTTTTTACTCGTATAGTAAATTACTACACACTACTTACAACAACTCTGACTACGTTAATCATAGCTCATAATTGGGGCTTTCATGTCAATGGGTATATTTATATTATTTTCAATTAGAAACATAAAAATATTAAAGTTGAGCCAAAGTCGACTTACCTTATACGATCCAAGATTTTTTACAGAGCAGCCCAATTTAACATTTCTTCCAGCAGGTACAGTTACATTTTCGATGTATTCAGTAAATTCGGGTTCTTCAACAACAGCTAACATAGAATAGTAACAAATAATTACCAGTTAAAAACCATTAAATATATTTCATATCAAAAATATTGATAAACAAGTAAGGAAGCTTGAGTTCAGGCGATCATTAATTACTTACGCAGTTTGTAAGGATTAAAGGCAATAGGAATAATTCGAGATGTCTGTAAAACTTTGTTATGAGATATGCTGCATATGAATTCAAATATTTATGAATGGAGGCAGAGTGACATGCATTGGTGGTACTGTTTTTGCACATATCTTTGAATTAAAAATATAAAAGTCAGTATATGTATGTAGTTTATATTATCGTATTTATACTAAAGTACTCTCATCACTGCATGATTAAATTCCTACCATCGAACAAAATTATTTCGTGGTCCATACTTTTCATTTATTAACTTTTTACATCATTAACGGAAGTCTGAAAATCCGCTTATTAACTAAATATATGGGGATGTATTGACCCAATTTTATATATTTTTTACAAAAATACACATTATTATCGGAAAGAGACGTTTTCTGAATTTATTAAAAATATTTCACATACTGACCGATATTTTCAGTAAAAAGTCAGCGAATATGATATTTGTTATATGGGTATTAAACCTATAAGAGGTGGGATAACGCTCACTTAAAATATCCTTACCCAACTGTAGTTTTACATCTTAATTTGCGGCTTAGTTATAGCACTATATACAGTGTTAATTTACGATACTTTGTGGTCGCAGCATTCGTCCGAATTCGTCCATCTGCAATCTATTAAATTCTCAATTTTTTCTTAAGTTATCTACTTCAAAGGTAGACGGATGGACGGAAAGACAGGCGCCCGGATTCAATTCCTCTCCTAATAATTTTGATACAATTAATTATGTATATATTTATAATATAGATGGTATAAGAGGTCTTCATGCAAACGTTTATTGGGTATTTTTGGTACCTCCACCGGCAGTATGAAAATAGGTGAAATCGGATGATAACTTCGCCCGCTCCTCACATTACGTTGAACTAAGTGCGATAACTCAATAAATAAAGTCAGAGACATTAAATTTTGCACCCAAAATATTACGAAAGAACTTCATAGAAGCTACTATCAAAATTTGACAAGCTCTTAGCACCACCCACCTTTCACCCACTTTCTACGAACTTCGATGCGTCATATTATCCTGATTCCTCTATTACGGTATGAAAATTAACGAAATCAAACACCAACCATGCCTACTGCGTCCATTTGAATATGTTAAAATAAATGTTTGCACAAATAGTGCATTTAAGGTAAGCCCCTAGATATCGAAGATGTGGACTATTGTTCCTATGACTGACTTTTTACCAAAAAGTGAGTCAATCTATTAGATATATTATTAAAATTCGGAGAGAGTCAATTTCTTGTAATGATGTACACGTTTATTAAAAATATAAGAATTTGCGTCAGTACTTCGCCTAGCCCTCATATACTTAATATAAAAATTAATCGGTTAGTCTGTGAAATTTTTCAATGAAACTCATAGAGCATTTTTTTCTGATAATATGATGTCGTAACGACAAAAATAGATAAAATCGGATCAATTCTACCCTAACACCAACGATGTCAAACTTCAAGTTGCCTTTATATCGTATATGTACTTCGGTCAATATGTATGATATTTTAGCAAAATTAATCAAACGTATAACATTGGATATATTATAGTTTAGTGCAGAAAATCTGTAAAATTGGTCAACGAATCACCATAGCTAGCATATATATGTTGGTTGTAAAGTTTCTGCGCTCGAAATGAAAAAATACTGTTTTGGTACGAAATATTGCATATTTTTTTATTCAAAATATTCTCCCTTAACTTCAATACACTTATTCCAATGATCCTACAATAAATGTATGCCTTCCCTATAATGACATTCCGGACACTGCGAAATACCCGTCTACGGCTGTAAGAGCTTCTTCATTCGACGAAAAACGCTTTCCACGAAGGAATTGTTTCAGGTTTCTGAAGAGGTAGTAGTCGCTGGGAGCTAAATCTGATGAATACGGTGTATGTTCAAACTTTAATTCGTTAAATTTTGTCATTGTTAAAACACCTTTGTGTGGGTGTATTGTCTTGATGAAACTTTTTTTTACACCCCAAAGCTTTATATGACATTATAAGTTCATTTTTTAAGATTTATGGTTTCCTAAAAAATATTGGACACACTACATTTGATGTTAGTAAGCGTCTGGGTAGTCTGAATATTTACATTATTTACAATCACACTATTATTAGAAAGAGATTATTTCGGAATTTCATTTAGATTTCTTAAAAATTTACCGATAGATGCGGTATAAAGTCAACCGGAAGTTCGAAAATATTTATATGAGACAGAGAGAGAGACAGAGCTAAGGAAAGTATTGACCAGATTTTACCCATTTTTGGCACAAAGATACAAAAATAGTTTCGATATCTTCGATAAAAAAATAGCCGTATGTACTGGTGTCCACATATTTGGTGCCTAGGTCCTTGAAAAGTTATCGTCCGATTTCGACAAATTTCGGGCGTTAAATTAAATATTTTGAGGGTACTATTTGTAGAATTTTACCCTAATAATTGCATTGATGTTTGATTTGTGTACTGTAAGGTAAAAGAATCAGATAGAATTTAAAAGTTTGTTATATGGGAAGTAGAAGTGGTTGTCAATCGATTTCGCCCATTTTGTCAATGTATGATAAAAATGTGTAACCTCACACATCAAATTTGGTTGGTCTAGTAGTTCTTGAGATATAGGATTTCACCTAAAAGTGGGTGGTACCATGCCCATAGTCTAATTTTTACAACGGATCCCATAAAACCCTCCTGGCTGTGAAATTTAATGTTTGTGGCTCCTTTATTCAGTGACTTATCGCATTTTTAGTAATTTTCAACAAATGGGGAGTGGGCGTGGGTATTATTTGATTTTCTCCATGTTCACAGTGTATGAAGGAATGTGAAAAAGGCATCTTCTTAGTTTGGTTGAGATAGCTTTAGTGGTTTGGGAGATATGTACATTTATCCATTTAGAGGGAGCACGTGTACCATGTTTCATCACGACATCTCAATTTTACTCAAGTGATCGTTTGCATGGACAGACGGACAGTCACCCGGGCTGTAACTCGTCTCGTTATTCTGATTATTTTTATATATTACATAACCCCATATCTATCTCGAGTGGTTTAAGGTTATACAAACAACTGTTAGGTGAAAAAAATTATTATACTCTGTACAACATGGGTCATAGCTGATATACAGTATACAGTGCATTAGCACATAGATATGTACAACAGTTACATGCGGAGTCCGCTATTTTCAAGTTGATTTTTATACCTGGAACGAGGTATATTCACGAAGTTTGTAACACCTAGAAGGCAACGTCGGAGACTCTATAAAATATATATAAACAAATAAAGTTTTTAAAATATCAATCTGCATCTTTGCATATGTCCTTTACCCTCCAGAAACTGCTAATTTGTCGAAACCGCCGATATCGGATCACTATAGCTATAGCTGCCACTTAAATTGAACGATCAAAATCATGTCTTCGTTTAAAAACCTTTTTTTTTTTATTTAGATATCTACTCGAAATTTGGATCGGAATATTATCCAAGGCAATATTACAGTCATCGAGACTTTTTGATAGGACCACTATAGCATATATCTGTCATACAAAAATGTATCACACAAGGCTACATATGCCTTACAAACCATACAAACTGACTGATTTAAATCAGGTTTTTATATGGAATGTTATGTAACTGAAGTTCACTTTTTCCTTTTTTTGTTTTTTGGAGACACCCTTCAAGCTAGAGTTTTTGACTTAAAAAATTTTCCAACGTAAATCTTTCTTTTTTCTTGTATATAACAGTGGATTATTTTTATATTTCTCATTAATCGAGTAAGCCTACAACTTTGAAAAAATGATATTCTAATACAAAATTTTCTGCTATACAAAAAAGGCTTATTGATGATCAATGTGTATTCATATTCATTGCGTAAAAAGATAGGGTACAAAATTATTATTGAGTTTGCAGGCGCTAGCTAGAATGAAAACTTAATGATTTTAAAATTGTGTGCATACCTAAATATGTATATATAGTATATTGCGCTAAATTTGAGTACACGAATGCTTGTAAGTTAACGGCACCCTCCACACAGTAGCTTTACGCTAATTATAAACAAAACTGTATATTTGCACTTAGCAATAATACAGCTTCTTAATAAGCATCTTTGCTTATTTAAGTAATCAATATTCGTTTTCATTAAGCTAAGATAAATAATCCAGCCATAACTTAATAATCAAACCACTTAATACATTCCTCCACTACTTTAATTTTTTCGGATTCGGTGCTACATTGGTTTACATATTTTATGGAATGCAGGTATTTACAAGTATATGAACAGTCCTTTGTTGGATTTGAATTCGGTTCCTATGCCCAAAAGTCTGATGATATATTTAATTTTTTTTTTTATATATAATGAAATTATAAAATATCAAGAAAAAGCGGACTGGCCGCTACTTGAGTTGAATAAATTCACCACTATTATGCCTTTTTATTCCCAATTCATTTTGACATACTTTAAACCTTAAATATCCTTTGATAAAGGAGTGGTGTGCTAGTATTGCGTTACATAAATTAATCAAATTTGAATAAAACGAACACTCACATAATTCGACAAAGTCTACATCAACGAGTATGTAGATCTATTATAAAGCAAACAAGGCATCCTTGGAAGACAAACATTTATGCTTACCCAGTCGTAAATATCTTAAGCATTCTCTTGTTGAACTGAAATAGATATTTATTTTAAACAAAGCGATGAACAATAGAGAAACACATCTATCGGTACTCATCTTAATTAATCGTCTGATAAATTTATATTAGAAGCAATCTAAACAATATCTGACAGATTGAGCGATATTTTTGGTATCAAGAAAGCCATAGGCACTGATGTCCTCATATTCGGTGTCTGGGGGCTAGCTATATATTCTAATGGAAAGAACC